GGGGAAGAGAAGTGAAAAAGAATGACAAAAGGGATTTAGATGTGTTATATGAATGTACTGTTTCCTCAAAAGAACACAAACAAATGCTAAGGAAAAAAAAAAAAAAAAAGCTTTGCTGTAGTCCGGCTTGCCTTACCACATGTAATGCATTTCCAGACTCTGTTCAGACACCTTCTCTAAATATCATAGGTTTTCTGAAAAGCCCTACATCATTTTTCCTCAGGACCTTTTGAGGTGGTACATTTTACAGATAAAACTGAACTTCTGAACCCATGTCTGTTGGTGTGGACTGAATTGTGTTCCCTCCAAACTCAGTCTCCACTAACTTGAAATGTACTGTGTTTGTAATTAAGATCTTTAAGGAAGTGATTAAAGGTCAATAGGAAGTCTATGATCTAACATGACTGGGGTCTTCATATTATCAGGAAGAGACAGTAGGGCCATTCTCCCAAAGAAAAGACCTCGTGAAAATGCAGGGAGCAGTCAGCTAAGGTACAGAGGGAGGGTCCAGAAGACACCGAACCAGGCAACACCTCGATCTTGGACTTCAGCTTTAGAACTGTGTGAAAATATAATTTTATCTCAGTGTCTCAATCTGTAGTATTATGTTTAAAACTCTAGCAAATTAATATACCCACTTCAACAGCACAGATGACTAAACTTTATGTATGCAAATGAGAGATCACCTTATACATAAACTTTCCCTGCCTGCCTTATGATTGAATTTCATGTGCTCCCATGACCACTTCATCCATTTACATATTTTTTATTTTATTTATAGTTCATACACTTCTTTGTGCTAAATTTGCTTGTTTATAAATTTATAACACCGAGAACAGAAAAACGTACAAGATAGCAGGATACATATACATATTCTGCTATTTTGAAATATATATATTTCAAAAGGAAGAGAATTGAGCACAGATAGATCCAGCTCTGTTATTATAAATACCAAATAGACGTCAGAGCTGGCCCATTAAGATACAAAGAGAATCAAAAAGGTTCAGGTTGATATGTGAATCCTCCTTTTGAATCAGAGTGAAAAGTGGGAGAAGCTCTAAGAACTGGCCTTAAACACCTCATGAGTATTTTCTTCATGGACTGTGTCAGGTGGTATGGGAGGGGATAAGCCAGCCTGACCAAATAAAGGTGACAACCAAACAAAAGGAACCAAAGAAATCAGAATGCAAGCCTTAGACAAGACTGGGAGCTTAATTCAAGACCGCTAGAGAGGATCATTTTTCAAAGTTACCACATCATAAAGTGAGCTGATGGAAAAATGTTGATGAGTAAAGGCTAAATGTTTCCCTCAATTTGAACATGTGAGTGGCTGGCTCATTCGTTAACACAGCACTGGAAGCTGATGCACACATTTTGCAATCTAAGGTTAGAGACCTGGGGAGTGAGATGCTGAGAGCCCTGAATCATGTCTTGAAATCATGTGGTTATGTTTTCTAGAAAGAAATCAATTACCAGAAAGTTACAGATTTATGGGGACTTGTAGCTTAGTTGTTATTCAGGAAGGTTATTTAAGTAAGGCTTGGTAAAAAACAGCAAAACATTCATCCTTCTGGACTTCAAAGTTCCCACAATCTGCTGAGTAAACAAGATCTTTGAAATTTGGCCTGTGAATATTTCCATGCTATCATATACTATAGCTTAGAATACAGATAATATTTTCCTGACTGCACTCTTAGCTGATAAATACATGATATCAAAAGTTATTAGCATATCAGTGTCTAATTGACTGTAATAAAAAGGATAAATCCTAATAACATTCCTATATATCATTCCTGTAGACCTCAATTATTCAGAAGTTTCATAATGCTGCTGCTGCCTAGTAGAGTATAATCCATTAAATATGCAACTGAGCTAAAATATAAAAGTTTCTCAAATGCTTATAGAATGAAATCATGGTGGTATTTTAAAATTTAATGTTGCTTAACCTGCAACCCAATGGATTCCTCTGCCCAGATATAAAGTTTATGGTGTGAAAGCAAAAATCAATCCATAGTGTTTTTTTCTAGAACTGATCACATCAAAAATTTTATCTTTCCTTTTTTTGTTCGGCATTAAATTCTGTTCCAAATATCATGTTTTCCAATTGACAAAGTTTTTAAAATTGAAAAGAAAAAGTGTCACAGGAAATTAGTGAGAATGTTATTTGCATAAATCACTGATACATTGGAAAAACAAAAATAAAATGAGAAATAAATATGTATTTATGTTTTACAAACTATATATAAACATGTCTGTATGCATATTAACACACACACACACACACACACACATATATATATATATATATATATATATATGCAAATACATTTGTATGAGGTATAGTAGTATCATGATTCTAGGACTCAATTTGGAAGAGAAGCAAATCAAACTTCCCCCAAAAGTAGGCACTGAATGTCACCTTTGAATCTGACTCAGTTCACATGCAATTCGGCTTGTAACCAGAATCATGGAAAGAATTAAGTTCATGAATCAAGGTAGCCCTGTATGTACACAGTGATGTGAAAGTAAACTATAGTACAAATAACAAATTTTAAACAAAAAATAAAAGCTAAAACAATACGTAGATAATTTTCCAAAAGCTTTATGAAAAAAATGTCGGTTGGTATTTTAGGTAAAATTCAACAGATACATATTCTAATAAATGTTAGATGACATGATTTTATCATTTTAAAATATGCCACTTTTAAAATATTATGTTAGAGAATTAAAACATAGATTGTTTTAATAACTAATAATTTAAAGTATAGACAGCAGAAAAATGCATATCTATACCTGTATCAGTAAAACTTCATCATTAAACATGACAGAAAAATTAACATCATATTGAATGGGACTTTAAAATGGCCATCAATAATTTGTAATTTTAGTATTAATATTTAAAAGCAGCATATCCAGAATGAATTTAAACTCACAATTTAATGTTTATCATATTAAGTTCATATTCCTTAAATAGCATTCTATGATTTTTAGACTTTTAATATATTTCATACACCTTTTTTCCATTAACTTCTTTATAGATATTGAGAGTTTAGAATACATTCTGAGGAGCTTTAAGATTGTGAATTAGAGTGGATGGATCTCAGGACACACAAAGCTTGGACTTTTCTCTCTTGCTTTTTTTTCCCTCCCTCCCTCTTTCTTTCTTTCTTTCTTTCTTTCTTTCTTTCTTTCTTTCTTTCTTTCTTTCTTTCTTTCTCTCTCTCTCTCTCTCTCTCTCTCTCTCTCTCTCTCTCTCTCTCTCTCTTTTACTTTCTTTCTCTCTTTCTTTCCTCTTTTCTTTCCACCTCTTTATGCAGCCCAGAACTACAGGGCTATTTAGTACTGAGAAAAAATGTGCATAATTATCTGAGAATATTACCTCTCTAAAATATAGTGGAATTTATAACCAGCGACAATATTATAAAATAGTCAAGGGCATGAGTTGTTTATTTTTGTAGGATTCAGTTTGAATTTCAAAAGCATCAATCTTTATTTTCTAATTTGATTTTTTGGAAAAAAATTTTGGAAACAGCAAAAGTAGCAATATCAGTTCACACACACACATACACTTGGACACAACACACCCAGACCTATGCAGTTTTGTTTTTTTGTTTTTTTGTTGCGTGTGAGACAGATTTCATTACTTACCTTTTATAATAAACAGAGCACAGTAAATGGAATAAAGTAGTACCCTATGGGTAAATTATTTTTGCTCATGTACCATGGGAAAGAAGTAACTTCAGTCTATATGGAAGGAAGCAGTCATTTTAAGAGTTCTCCCTTTTTGTAATAGTGGCTGTAATTTTAAAACTATGAAATTGCTAGAAACTTGGAAAAATACGTACTACAAAATATACACACACAGACATATAGATATGTGCATGCACACACACACTCTTTACTATATTAAAAATAATTATTTTAAATAAATGTTCATGTTAAACATTCATTGACTCTTTTAAAGTTGGAAAATATTTAAAATTTAAAATATTGAGTTGACATTATGACAGATAAAATTTAGATTTGCTTCCTATTAAAACCAGACATTTTAAAGGCCAAGTGAAAGATGTATTTTAGAAAAAACTTTACAGAAAATAATAAAAAAATATTTGTAAACTGCAGCACTACTACAAGCTCTCTGAAATATATGGTGAGTATTGAAATTAAAGATTACTATAGTAAAACAACACATTGTTATTAATCGCTCTTCAAATAGTCCCCCTTTCTTCAAACAAACTCATCGCACCATTCTTACCACTCCATAAGGCAATTCTGGAAATACACTTCGGTGAGTCTTTAGGAGTTATTGCTGCTGGGCACCATTAAATTCTTCAGCCAGGCTCAGAAATCACTTAGAATTTACCCCTATGCACCTTACCCCAATGATTCAAAACAGTGCAGCAGCCAGGACAGTGTGAACAGAGACATCCAGGAAAGAGGACTCCCAGAGCTGCTGCAGACGGGGGCAAGGGTGACGGGAAATATTTGTTCAAAGGGAAATGTTTGACCTGAGAGAGATTATTGGTGAGGCACTTTGACTGTAATTTGTAAAATACACTTAAACAATCTGTATTTTACAATGCTCCTAGTATTTCATATCTTCCTTCTTCTTTTTCCCAATTAGTATTCCTCAAAGTGCATTTAAACCACTTATATTTATATTAAAACTTAAATGTTATTTGAAAAGGATAAATGTGGAAAATTCATAAATAGTTCATACAATTTTATTGGTTTTTAAATACACTTTAAAAACTTTATTGATTGTAGATTTATAAAAAATTTATAAGATAATCCAGAAAGCTAGTATATAACCCATGCTCTCTTTCTTCTACTGTAATTCTTTCAGATTGTTTTGGAATGCTTGTCACAAATAATAAACAAATAATGATTTATAATTAATGAATAGATTGCGTGATTTGTCAGCTTCTTGAGCTTATATGATATAATTTTTTTTTCTTTCAGAAACTATATCACATTAATTCATCATGTCTCCTTTTTAGGTTTCTCTTGATTGGGACAGTTCTTCAGAATTTTGCTGCTCTTGACGACCTCGAAATTTTTGAGAAGGATTATTGTTCAGATTTTTTTAGAATTTTCTTTAATTGAGATATGTGTGGAAATTTTTATTGTAAGTGGATATTAGTTTTTTTTCTTTTTTATCAAATGCTTTCTTAGTCTAAATGGCTTAGATCCTGCAAGCTTGATTTTCCTCCTTTTACTTATTGAGATGCTACATTGATGGATGGAATGTGAACATTTAAACATATTCATAATTTCACATTTACATAATTCAAATGAGTCTCATTCCATCTTATATAATTAATTTTGCACACTGTTGGATGTGTTAGGAATTTTCCATTTATTTTCTGAGAGATACTGAATAATACTTGTCATTATTAGAAACCTTTTTTCTTGTTTTGTTTTTGGGCAATAATAGGCCCCCCCCCCCGAATGTGTATGGATTAATTGCTCTGCTTTTATTTCCTTGAAGGGATCATGTAAATTAAAAACCAATTTTTCCATGAAAAATCATGAAATTTATTAGTAACAAACCCTGAAATTATGCTTTGTCTTGGGAAGAATTCCAATTATAAAATTTCTTTCTGGGTACAGGTCTATTAATGTTATGTAACTTTCCTTTTATGGCCTTTGGAAAGTGTGTCGTTCATTACATATGTATTTTCAAATTTATATTCATGGCGATGTGTATAATTGTCCCTTATTATTTTAATGTACTTGTAGCCGTAGTGAAGATCTACTTTTCATGTTCAATATTTGTAATTTATATCTTTATTTTTTCTTGATTAGTTAGAGGTTTGTCAATTTTATTCATATTAAGAACATAATTTCTGCTCATTATCTGTATTTTTTTAGTTTAGTTTAGTTTTATATTGTTTACTGTTTTATTTTCTTTCTTGCTTTAAGATTAATTCATTGTTTCTCAACATTTGTAACACACTGCTTAGAAGATTGATTTTATGTATTTCTTCCTTTCTGTTATGTACATGCATGAAAGCTATTATACTACATAAGAGCAAAACACATCTTAAAATCAGTGCTGTTCTATTGCATTTTTATTCAGAACAAGCACGTGGTGTTTAAGCTAGATCTGCTACTTGAACAGATAAGAAACTGTTTCTGAACCAGTGATATCATATACTAAGGTAGTGTGACTAATGTCCATATTTTCATATTTCCTTATACGGCAAATGTGATTTTTGCAAATTAATTTAAATTAATGATTGACTTTGGGAGATTATTTTGGTTTTGACTTTCCTAATGCAATCCCAGAAGTCATTTTAAGAGTCAAGCAGGAAAAGAGTTTCTAAGCAGAGTTTTGAACTATGTGTTGTAAAAATAAAGTGACAAGAAGCCAAAGAATACAGACATTTTTTAATACTTGCAAATGAAAGGAAATGCATTCTGCTCTTTAACCTGCTGATGAAACAGTCCTGTTGGAACTTTGGCTTTAGACCAGTGAAACTGATTTCAGACTTCAGTACCAAAGAGCCGGAACAAAAGTAAATTCGCTATATTGGCAGCAGGAAAATAATGCATGAATTTTTAAAAAGCCCAATGTGATAAAGGAGGTCTCATATTTCCTGAGCCCCAGGGAATATTTTCCTAGTAAAATTTGTAGTCAGTGGGTCAGAGCTTGAGTCTGTAAAGTCAGATAAAGAATACATGCATTTCCAGAAATTTTTCAAACAGGACCTGACGTGAACTCTAGTATTAAGATATAATAGTCAACAAACTCTGTGTTCTTTGCCTGTTTTCTATTATACTTAAATGACCGCCCATTAACACACACACACACACACACACACACACACACACACACACACACACACACAGAGGCAATGATTTTTCTTCTGAATCCTCTGTGTGGGGGGTCTAAGAATTTAACACAGGCACTATGATGCCTTTTCATCAGCTCATTTACTTTGCACAACATGAAAACTTGTCAGCTATAAATAGGAATATTGGAAATGAGGAAGATAGCCAAGTATTTTTATCTACTTGATTAATAAGCAATGTCATGAGCAATGTTAGTTCTTTTTGGTGTAAGCTAAACTGTCTTTCTTGGAACGTTGTTTCTCCTATTTTGATAGTATACACGTACATACACACACATACACAAACACACACACAATGAAGTTTTGCATGCTTTGCAAGCAACAGATTTGCAAAACAAAAGAAGAGCAAAGATTTAAATTTACTTCTCAGCTAATCTTCATTTCTTATATGAATGACGAAAAGCCTTGAGAGTCTCATGTACCTGAAATGGCTTTAACAAAGTGATAACAGATGTATACAATGTCTGTGAAAGCCACGGATTGTAATTATATGACTTCTACTCATTTGCTGTGCTCATATTATGAACATAATTCTAGTTTACTGCATACACATTGTACTTTAATACAAAAACACCCAAGATGAAATCTGCAAGTCAACACATCAAATCTGGAATGCTGTGATTTTAATTACAATCAGGGATTCTTTAGAATATAACAGTGCATCCTTGGAAAGAAATGAAACTTGGGCAAGTGTATGGCAGAGTGGCACACCTGAAAAGTCATACTCTCTTCTTTCATACCCCACAGGAAGCACAGTACCTTAAGTATAAACAAATTGTCTCTGGAGAAGGAAATTTATATTGAAAAGAAATACTTGCAATAACAAATAGCGATTGTTTTAAGAAACAATATTAGAAATTATATTTCCACATTAAATTTCAATAAGATCTCATTTTGAGAAAAAAGTTTTTATCCCATCAAGATGAAGTTGAATACAAACACAAATATATATTGAAACTAAAATTTATTGAAAAATTAAATATGGATTGAAAAACACTAGTGTTTTGAAGTAATATATTATTTGACAAATTGACTGGCTCTTTAAATGAATATCATTACGGATATTTTGCCTTTGTTATTAAATACCATAGATTTTTACTGAATGCATGGTCTCTGTTATTTCTGACGGATATATTTCTATCTTGTAACATTTTTGTAATTTCTTGTCATTTCATTTACATGGTTATAAATTTCCATGTCTAATTTTTAAATCGCTTCATGTCCATTGAATGTGTTTTGCTTTTCTTTTACCTGAAATGCATTTATTTTTACGTAGTTTGATCATAGGTCATTATGTACTAGATTTAGTTGTTTGCATATTTGTGTGTGTTCCTACACACTGTGAAATAAGTTAGCTATAGATAGAACTGTAAATTCATCACCATTTTATTTATGTGTACTAACATGATCTAGTTGCTTGGAAAATTGAACATGTGACTTTTTTATGAATTCTATTTTCTAGCTTTAGAATAGGAAAGTCTCAACAGCATCGCTATAGTTAAACCTGAATTTTGTTTGCCCTGCTTACCAAGAGAATTTTGTGTTCGTTTGTTTAATTTGAAGAATTGTGCTTATCCGCAGTTCTACTTACTCCCAGAAAATGTTCATTTTAAATGTTAGGGCTGCTACTTCCTTCCTTCCTCAGGATTCTGCAATTTAGATGACCGTTCAATCTCATCCTTTGTGCTCCAATTTTCTTAGTACTCTTCTTACATACACAGATATAATTAGAAATTAGTGTAGAATTCTGCTATAGTCTAGCAATTTGTTTATCTCTCCATCAAAACTGTTTAGTAGACAATTTATTCTGTTTTCAACAGTACCTCTGTATATGAACTTAACTTGCTCCATGTTTCTGGGGAAGATGTCCATGAAGTAGGGCCATCCCTGCATGCAGAGTTTGGGAAGGGAAGCAAAATTTTCCTGAATGTGTCTGTGGGAGAATCGAATTGTTTCCTGAACAGAAACGTTCATGAACGAACGTATTATTATATTTTATTTCTTATTTAAAATTGATTTTTAAATTTTTAACGTGTTACTAAAAACAAATGTTTTATATATAATAATTACTTTCATATTGGATCATTGTAATATATATATATATATATATATGTCATATCTTCAGTTTTATTCATAAAACTAAGATGTATTATGAGTTAGAAGAAAGCAAATTAAACTTTAAGTAAGTCAATTTTGTATAGAGAAGTTTTTCCTAACTTTGTGTTTAATATAAGAATCACATCAGTTTTAAATACTTCAAAATTTATAGCTCTCTCCTACAAATATTCTGATTTAAATAATCTAAGCTGGAACCTGGGCACTGTTGCATGCATAGCACTCCAGTGGATTTGAATGTGCAGATGAGATTTGAAAAAGTAGGGAAGTGGAGAGAAACATCAAAAACATGCTTGGCTTTACTAATTATTGCTTAAAATTGTGGAGCATCTCGCAAGTAGGATGTAGCCAGTCTGTGAAATGGAGCATATCAAAACCTATCTAATGATTCTGGTAAGAAATGAAGTTTCATTTGTTTAAAGCATTTCACAAATTGCTATGCACCCCAAATGAGTTATTGTTCTAATATTGTTCTTGCTTCCTTTATTATAAAATCTCAGTGTTGTACCCATTATCTAATCATAAAGCAACAAAATACATCAGCCACAATATTGTCAAGACAAACTACTGATATAAGGTGAATTTTGACTGTGAAAGGCATTTCTCCACACATTTTCAATATTTCAATTAGATATTAAGTATTCCAGATGCCCTTGTTATGGCCACATTTCTGAAAACCTTCCCTTGTGAGTTTTATAGCAAATAAAATTTGTTTTCCACACTTGCAAGTTTCTATATGTAAAATATAATATTCTGAAATCAAGTGTATTCAGTCACATCCTAAGGGAATGTGCGAATTATTCTCAAATTTATTTCTTATGAATATCCGGGACTAATTTTAAATGTTTGTGATAAATGTCAATGTGGATTTATTATTGTATACACAATTCTGTTTGTCAGTGATTGACATCTACAGAGCACTAAAGAAAATTATGAAGTGATGCTATCACTTTAATGAACCTTAGGAGTCACTTAGAGTGAGTGCTCCCTTTATATTACACAACCAATTCGCTATTCTGTTTTAACATTTCCATTACATTCTTTTAATTAGTCTAAAGATAATTAATATACAAATTTTCAAAAGATGAAAAACAAACAAGTTTTAAATACATAAATGCAGTGCTAAAATCATTCTTGTGTCTTGGTTCATTGAAGA